TAGAATGGGGTTAGAAAAATCAAACTTTTTAGAATATGTGGCAATAAAATGATAATAAAAACACAATAAAGGTTGTGGAATAAACATAGAAAAAATATCATAAAATTACCTGTACAGTGATAAGAGGCAAAACACAATCAGTGAAGAAAAGTAACCATATATACAAAGTAAACCACACAGAAGAAAAGTAACCATACACGCAAAGTATAAAATATAGAAGAAACATAACCATATGCACAAAAAGGTATAACTAACATACAGAAGGAACATAATCATATACACAAAGTTTAACAGGCAGAATAAACATAACCATATACACAAAGTATAACATTCATAAGAAAAGTAACCATATACACAAAGTATAACACCCAGAAGAAAAGTAGCCATATATACAAAGACAAGTAATTATATACACAAAGTATAACACACAGAAGAAAAGTAGCCATATGTAAAAGACGTAGAAGAAAAGTAACATATACACACAGTATAAAACACAATAGAAAGGAAACCATATAGAAAAGTAGCCATATACACAAAGTATAACACCACAGAGAAGAAAGGTAACCATAAGCACAAAGTATAACACTCTGTAGAAAAGTAACCATATACACAAGAAAAGAAGAAAGAGTCACAGCTGGTATACTTTTTAGATAAAGAACGTCTAGTCTATCGGATGACCCTAAACACCGTTGGAGTGCTCCTAAAGGAACCCCTGGAAGGTGTAATTAGGCGGATATTTCTCCCCATAGCACATTAGTCGTCTTCATTAGCCGGATTGGTGCAGAATAGCTAGTCGTTTAAGTTAAACCCTACAGGTCTCTTTTTCAAACGCCGAGACACCGAATCCAGAACGTCCTAAAGAACTCTTACTCCGAAATTGAAGAAAACACACTCTGAATAGACGAGCCATCATAGCCATACATTATACATGTATCCATATTCTGCAGTATTACTAAACGATAAAAAAGAACATTTTTAGTTCACGTATTAACATTCTACCCAGTCAGCAAAATTGCAAATTGGATTGAACCCAATTACTCTCAAATAACTTCGTACACGTACCATTTCTTATAATTCATACAGCCACCAATCAACCCACGCCCATTTTAATTACATATATAATAGTAACATTATATATTATAGGATGTATATGTTTACTTAAAGTTGTTTTTGAAATGTCATTGGAGAATTTGGATATTTTATTCCCAAAATCTTAATTGGGACTTGATGTGGGTCAATAGGTCACTTGACCCTTCTCGTAAATTTAAACTGAGGTATGAAATTCTATACTCATTAGCTGTTGTTACTATGTTTTAATGAATGAAAATGAATTCAAGTGAAGTATCAGGGTCATATTACTCTCCTGTCTCTGTTTTTATATCCCAGATTTCTCTAGAACAATCACATAACGGTACATGACCATATAAGAAATAGACGTCAAAAGAATATGGAAACCGCGGTGACTCAATGAATAAGGTTCCGGCTCGCTAACCTGGACGCCGCGGTTACGATCCGGATGTTGGCCGGAAAAGTGAGTAGGCATTTTCCGGCTTTGCTTCCCATTGTCAAGCGTCTAGTCGTTCAGCGTTTAGTCGTTCGAGTGGGACGACAAACCGAGGTCCCGTGTACCCGTTGGAAAACACGTAAATGAGACAACATTGCGTGCAAAGTTCCCTCATAGCACATTGCATTAACCTGGATAGAGCAGAACAGGGGGACGTTAAACCCCATTTCATTGCAAAAGAATATTAAATCAAATGTATGCTAAATAGTAAAACAAATTGATTTTGGGGAAAGCGGGTGGGGACGACGGGCGTTGAGGGTTAAATCAAATACACGTTCCGTCGTGTTGACATACTTAAATTTTTGTTCCAAATTTTCGCCAAAAGTTTCTTTAGAAAGGTTTAAAATGTAGTTTCTTAATGTGTTATAGGCAATACAATAATTAGGGACATTTTCTTATAATTAACTTCTAAGTTCAAGCGTCAGTATATCAAAGCCAAAAAGTTCTTTTGATCAAAACTGTTGTGAGGGTTTTTAAATAGCTATACTTTTAATAACGTTTCTTATTATATTGTTAGAATGAATTGTAATATGGAATATAACTTCTTTTAATTAATCTTTAACCCGATTTGAACCTGTCATGTATATGCATAAACACTAGCATTTGATTTTATCCCAAAAGAAAGAAACGTATAACAGAAACAAACAAAACAAATAAATAACTTTCAATTTAACATCTACCCGATTTAAAATTCGTATCTATCATGTGTATATAATAGCATTTCATAACCATGAACAAGAAAGAAACCAAAAAGACAAAATTTAATACGGAATAGAGCAACTTTCCATTCACCTTGTATCCGGTGTGAACCCGGAAATAAATAAAATCTTGAAAAATGTCTAGTTGTAGCTGTTGAAGAGACAGGCCCGTAACTTGGCGGGGGGGGGGGGGGGGGTCTCCCATAAAAACAATAGATATACATTGTCCGTCAATTTTACAATACCCCTTGAGAACACTTCTCGACCCCCTCATTGCTCCGAGCTAGTTACGGCCCTGTATAGAGATGTACTTCAACAATGTGAATAGATTTCAAGCACGCCTTCATGAACATAAATATTTGTCTTTAAAGGTACACGCAATTAGAATTCCACTAAATATTTACTTGATGTTTTGAGAGAAGAATTTGTAATCCTGGGGCAGGTAGTTATTTCTGATGAATGATTCAAGGTGGATTCTGCAAATTATCCAAATGGGTTTGCGGGAACAGTCCCAAAATTAATAGGATTTACTTACGTTGCTTGAAAATCCAAATCCAAAATGTAAAGAAAAAACATATTTATGTAAATCTAAAGGTCTTAGCTCAAAATATCGGATTAGTACACGCATGACTCAATAATAAATCGTGGCCTATGCCCTATTGTTTAAGTGTAATTAGTGATATGATAACACAAACACCCCAATACGACAGATTTCCGGACACTACTACATATACGTTTTTGAAAGCGTCTCCAATTCCACGTGGTAACATTACGTTTATATTTCGTTGAAAAATAACCACAGAGTTTCAGATAGATGGACTAGTCTAGGATAAATGATTCTAAAAGAGACGTTCACAAACAATTACATCTATATGTACCGTTAAAGTGCTCGTCATTTGATCAATTCACTAATAAAGACTTTTAAAAGAATATACTAAATTCCTTAAAAACGATTATATACCAGGAATTGTTTAGCATTTTAAACTGAATTGGGAGTTCACAGGCATACATTTACTGTTTATTACTGTCTCATTACTGACTTATTACTGACTAGAGAAGACTAATCGAAACGCCGTTCAGTAATTGACAGTTTTCTTTTAATCATTCCGTTTTGTTTGCTTTATTTGTTCCTGAGAACCAGTAAAATAATTCGTTTATCAATTTAAACGTTTTAAACAAAGGACTTTAATCACACTGTTTGACCAAACAATCAAATTCGTGACCATTAAATTTCCTTAAATTCTATTATATCTATACACCTCTTTGTCATCAAATTTTCTTTTAATTTTTGAAGCATTGGTTGAAGAATGTAAATCTGAATTTCTAATTTGACCAATATAAGTTTTTCAAAAAATAAAATTTGATTAATTTTTTTCAAAATGTAAATTTATTTGATTTTTTTCTCTTATAATCAAAACACTTATAAAATAGAAAGCTCTATTTAGCCTGAATCCAGAAAAACATGAGGTACCCATCAACAATCTCTTTCTCTCTCTAAATATATATATACATCTTGATGAAGTTTACGTGTATTTTAATATATTCTGAGTAAGAAGAACACTTTTTGTATAAATGAACGCAATTCTATTTTTATATCAAGTGCTTGAAGGTGTCAAACGCCCGAATAGACCACTGTATATTGCGTATTCTACAGAGTCGTTGTAAGTAATTTTCTTTTCATATTTGGAATATTCTAATTTTATATAGATTACTATATTGATTTAATTCTCATTATAAGTTTTAAATCTTTTCCGAGACTTAAAAGATGACAGATATTGATTAATCATTAAATGAACAGATATATTAAGGATAGATTGGTACCTTTATTGTCAAATTACTAAAATCCGGCTAAACATTCAGGTCTTAATAAAAGGGGCAAAAAAGAACGAGATTACAGCGCGAACTAAATGTATCCTAGAAATTAGAAATATAACGATTCTGTATGTTCTTGTTTTCATTTTCGTTAATTTCATTAAGTTGTATCTGGGTTTTGAAAAAAAGGAAAGGAAAGTATATTTATAATATATTACTCTTATCTAGAACGTCGTGTAGATAGTTATTATCAACAAATATAAACACCAATAAGTAAACCAGGGATCCGCATTTACCCCAATCGTTTTCCATAAGACTATTAACATAATGATTCCTGGTAGATAAATTGCATTTAAATTCTGCTTCCTGGTAAAGAGGGGATTAAAATTATCTAGCCAATTTCTACTACAGTAGATTCCAGGTGTTGAAATTTACAAAGAGCTAAATCATCCAGATAATTAAAAATATACAAAGTAGTGGATTTTAATTCCAGTAAATTTCACTAGACCCATAGAACGTACATAGTACTCTTAAACCTCAAAACGCTTTAATTCCTTTAATACATTAAATAAATAATACTTAATGATACTTATCGCCATAATCACTAGAATCGTATTGCAGCGATTTATACAGCTTGGGGTTTTGTTTACTTATGAGGAAGGTGCCCTTGACCACAATATGGCTAATAATGATTAGAAAGAGATGAAAAGAGGTTTGTCTTTAGCGACGTAAGAGAGTGTTGGGATGTTCAGAAAGATAGCAAAATCTGTACCCCAGCATCCGTTTCAACGACTAAGTTTCCTTTGCCTTGTATTGTCGTGATAAGTTTCACTTCCGGTATACACGAGCTTTGAATTGTAAATGGGACTGATGCTTTTAGATGGAGACAAGTCGCATTAGCTCCCTCTATATCATATATTATACATATATATATATATACAGTAACTTTATATGTACATATTAAGCCGTTATATATGACACATGCGCATTCTATTTAGTTAACCAATTTCAGTCTATTTTCTTAAACCGGACACACTACTCATCCAATGTTTACTCTTTGAAGATCGGCAAAAATGGTAAGACGTTTTTAATTTTATTCTGAGAAATGGTATTTATTTTAATATGGTATGGTATGGTAAAGAGATTGTAATTTGTTACTAGATTAAGTTTTGTTCAGAACCCGAGTCTATTTTTCCGTTCGTTCTTCAACTGAAGGAAGTGAGACTTTATATTAGCTCTGGGGGATAGTAATCGAGGATTTCCTAAATAGCATTATTCCGGTATTGTGTCGGGGGCCTTTTACTACTTTTACATGATCGTAACACATGTCGCAGTTAATATAAATATTGTTTTCGGTCTTTGTTTATAATATTCCTTTTACTCTTTTAGAACCATATGTACTTTTCTAGCACTACAATTGTCAACTGGACAAGGGATCAATCAAAAATCAGATTTTACTTTTGGTCAAGGAAACAAAATAACAATGAAACAAATTTTTATAAAAAGAAACGAAAAAAATATTTATTTTGTTTAAGGTTGCCATAGTTGTAAATTGATGCCAGGTGATATATACATATATAAACTTTGTATATATACTCTCCATATTAACAGTCACATTGTTGTCACTCTTATATAAATAATCGAATAAAACAACCATGTAAAATGTCACTTAAGTTTGTATAAAAAGGCGATTCGTGTGGAAAGGGTTAAAGAAGTTTGAGGTGTAGACATTTTAGTCACAGACAGAAACGATTCCAGTAACTTTGATTCCAACTTTGCAGTGAAATACAAAGAAGTCTTTATGAAAAACGATGGGTGTGATGAAATCTACAACTATATGCACCACATTAATATTTTTCATAAATGTTTTATATAAAAGCAATACACTTTTACTACAGCATAATAGAAAATAATCTGACGCATATTCGCACTCGATTAATTTATTACAAAAATACTGTAATTAATTTTAACAATTATTGAACTTAAAACATCAAGTGTGTATGCAAATTTTGATCTTGCCGTTTAATATGTGTAGGGAAAAATACAATTTATTCTTCATTAAATATACATGTACTTGTTAAAAAATGTTCAGTTTAGAATAAAGAAGAAATATGTGTTTAACATCCACCTTTTCTGCAACGATTAGGCTAATGAAGACGGGTTATGTAATCAATTCAGTATATAATTTTAAATATAAGCTAATATTTAATAAATAATTTATTCCATCATGGATAACAATAATATATGTTTTATATTATTTTATAATTCAATATTAAATAGTTTAATATAGAACAACTGATTACTAGTAAATGAAAATACTTTCACTTGAATAAATGCATCTGAATAAATCATTAAAAGTAAAAATGCCGTCGCGATTAGCTCGGTTTGTGCCAAAAATTTAAGTCAACAGAACGCAGTTTCAGTCCCCATTAAGATAAACATTAAATCACAGTTTTTTAAAATTGGGATATGTGAATGGTTTTGTGGAGTGTCACATATGAAGCAGTTTTGGAAAACTACGAAATTATTTCAAGAGATTCTTTTCTTTTTTTTTTAAAAAAAAGGGACAGATGATTTATTAAATAAGATTTATTTGGATTTTTAAATTAAATAAATTAAGTTTTAAAAAGTCATTAAAATCTCAAAATAGCAGTTATCCATTTTTATCGGCCCTTTAGTATTCAAATGGCACAGATATTCTATCACTATAGAGTTAATGTTAAACTAACAAATAAGACCCGTAAGAAATTGGCAGATCAATTTAGGAATGAAGTGGAAATTAAATGTATTTATTACATACAAGATATTATGTCCCTCTAAAGTAAGTAAAATTTAATATTAATTAGAACCCGGACTTAAGAACAACAATAAACACCCTTATACGTTCTGCTTTTGTAATATGACTAACATATTCTGTACTGATAGAAAGAAACACTTATTGTTAATCACATACAATACCATAAACATCCGCCTTTTCTACATAATCTCTCGCCATCTAAATTTAGTCGAATAATGAGAATAATCTCAGAACATTGTATACTAATAATTTACAAACTTTTCTTCCAAATAAAAAAAAACCTTGTTATTTCCAATGCCAGAACTAAAGAAAATAATGAATTCGGATATTAAGTATACTTTTCTATTTTAACCAGTACAAATAACCCCTTTTATTACAGTATATCTTTGTGAAATCATTAATAATGAAATTTTAGTACCGATGATCTTAAAAAACATTCAAATTCAAGAACATAATCACAAAGCAAGAAATAATGTTACAGTGAACTTTAGGAAATGGCGTGAGTAAATGGCGTTCCCCTCACTAAATAGTAAATAATAGTAATAATAATATTTTTAAAAATCTCAATCTAAAGCTAATTTTTCTTTAAATACAATCTAGCAGTAAAATTTCTCTTTGGTTCTAATGCCGATTCTCAAACATAAGTTCATTTGGGGAATTAGCTGGTGCTATGTTAGAACTTTACGCACTTATTATCTTGATATTCATGATGTTAAAAACCGAGAAATGCTAAATTAATGTCTTAGGTTCTTGCTTTTAATTAAGATTTAGTATCACACTTAAAAAATTATAAAAACAACATATTATGTTCAATTTCAAAACGTTCATATTTTGATTATTACTTACGACAATTATTTTCTTGATACTAATAAATTATGATAATGCTGATAATGATAATAATATCATTTCAAGATTACCATAACTCATAATTCGCGCAACTGCATGAATATGAAATTATTCCTTTTGAAAAAATGTTTAATTTGTTTATCTTAATAACCATAATAACCAATAAAACATTTTGGTTACGTTTCTTTTCAAAGCAATTAGTATATCGCACAGATATCTTTTAATATTCATGAATTCGGACACATATTATGCTGAAGTGAGATAACCTTACTTGTGATATCTGTCGCCAATAAATAGTTCCAGCCAGATTGTGGTTACCTTAAAATATCGGATATCTTAGATAATTATCTCTTAATATTCACGAATTCGGACATCATATATAATAGAATGATTTCAACTGCACGAATATAACAGTATCAATTTTGAAGAAAAAAAGAGTTTAAGCATGAGTACAAAAACGTGTAAAACATAAAGTAGCATTATATTACGGTTATTGTATTTCATGACCATATTATGTAGAATAGTAATATCTTCCGCTTTATAATACGTACATGATGTTATAGTATATATCACTGGTTTATATTAAAACATAGATAATTAATACTTACCGTGGTTGTGATGAAATATTATAATGAATACAGTATGTGCATAACATATGTCAATCATTTCTAATACATACATCTATAGCATCTTATAATGTCCAAAAGATAAGCGATTCCTTAGAAGCAGTTAAAAAATCCATATAGATTGGTTGGTTATTTTCATATGTGTTTAATTAATAAAAAATAATCCAAGACATAAAACTTAAAACCCTTTTAAAAGCGTAAAAGGACCAGTCTATTGAATGGTATAATATACAGCACAAATGAAAAAATCGTTAATGTTTTGTGATGATTCAACTAACTTGGATTTGCATAGTTGCTTAGTACTATTCAGAGTGGGCTTTGCTTTATTAATATGTTTAGTGTTATAAATAGCTTATTGTTTTGTTAGGATGAACAGCAAGATGCCGTGGCTAGAGAAGAGAATTTAGAAACAGAAAAAAACTATGAAGAAACAACACAGAAAAGTCCAGTAGTTCATTTAGAATCTGTAGAATGTGACTCGACAATAGTTGATAGCATACATTCCTCCATAGCTCATTCTATAAGCCACACATCGCAAGTTAAAAGCGAACCAGCTTTAAGTTCTACCCCAGTCTGGTCACCATTCCATACTGTAACAGGGACACCTCTTAATTCGTTACAAGACGTCACGCCATTTCAAATGAACCCTGGGTCAGTATACCAGAACCAGGCATTACAGTATTCCAGCGAATCTCCAAGCAGTTATTCGGGCCTTCCTTCAATCGGCTCTAGCCTTACTGACCCGATGATGCCCCAGCCACAAGACGCGGATGATCTCGGAGCATATGACCCTACCCCGCTCATGAATGCCTCGCCTTCTCCTCACGCTACATATTCTGACCTTCATTCTAAAGGAACACACCAATTGCAACAGTCACCGTCACCAAATCATTTCGGTGAGCATTCCAAATCTCATTCACTAGTGCAAGGATCTCCGTCACCAAGTCATTTCTCGGAAGTGTCTAAAAATCTTGGGGGACATATGAATATTCCACCATATGATAATACCACTGTTCCTCAATTAATACCAGGACCACCTCATCATCACCAACAGCAACTTCATCATCATCAACCACATGATCAGCAACAAGAACAACATCAACATGAAGAACAAGTAAAATCACAGAAGAAGGTTATAGTACCCACAGGTAGGAATCTTTGTCTTAATTAATTTAATAATTATCCTTCATCAAAAGATGAATCTCAGAATTTAAATATGTACAACATATTTTGCAATACATTGTTACTCAGTTGTGAGATATTTGAGGTTTTATAAATTTTGTCAAGTAAATGCGATTGTGAACGAATTATCTTTTCCATGTAGCTGATCGATTTGCGCACTAATTCTTTTGGCTTTTTTATTTGCTGTTCCTGTATTTTTCGCCAGGTCTGTGTATTTATTGATTTTTTACTTGTGGTGTATTTTCATCAAACTTTTTAAATATAATAACATATACATTTACTGTATTTATTATTCGCCATTATTAAGAAACAAAAATAACAAACTTCTTTTGTTCAAAAATATATTAAAGGCTCAATACCACTCTTGTTGTAACTGAATAATATGTCCCAATCTTTATTCTGGTCAACAAATTGTACTATTTTACAATATTCCGATTAATTGATGATACAAATTTCATCTTAACACACCTAATTTAAAAAATTGGAAAAATTCAACTAAATGATTTGAAAAGCCTGACGTAAAGTTTTTCAAATGTTACTTGGATTTAAAAAATATTTTTGAACCCTCTGGACAAGTAAAATAGAATTTAATGGATAGTTTACACAACAGGTAGGACACTAACACATCTAATACTTAGAATAGGGCTATTTTTTTATCGAGCTATCAAGCCAGCAAGAGTGTTATTGTCCCTTTAAATCAGTAATTGTGGACAAAATTAGAAATATCCTTTAGACGAAAGTTGGGACAAAATATATTGTTTTCATTCCATGTATTCGATTAATTAATAGAAGACAGTACATTGAGTTAAGTGAATTTTAATCATTGACATAACGTCAAAATGGAGACGGAATCCCGAACAAATAATGTTATCATTCTGAAAAAATAACATGGAACCCAAGTAAAATGTAATATAGATAACATATTATTTCAAATGACAGAATAAGTTACATTAATACCAAATTATCTTACTGCAACAACACATAGTTTAATGTGACAAGGAAGAAAATTTCAACGCGGAGATAAAACTAAGGCAACCTTAAAATGTGTCGCGTGGCTGGTACAGATAAGAACCATATTATACGTACATAGGTCTACAAGTCCTATTGCTTGATATACACATGTAGATCAGTATTGTTTATTTAGTGTGTCTTACAAATTTCACATGGGACTGACAACCCAATTCTAACATGTGTAAACTTCATTGTTTTTATTTTCTAATATAATTAGGGCTAATCACGAATTCCTATAATTGGTTTCGTATTTTTGTCTGAAACCAATATATGAGCCACAGGTACGTACATGTGGATATATTTTCCCGTAATCATATGAAACTGAAATGACACGAGCACACTCGGTACACGTTATCGCAATAGAAATTAAAACAATATAATCTAATTGTCTAACATATACAAGCGACGAATAACGAACTCGTTGTCAATGTAAAATATGAAGGGAATATTATTTTGAACTAAGTAACCAGTTGAAGAACAATGACGATAGATTTTGGAAATTTGAAATAATCCTTTCTTTAATATGTCGTGGAGCACATTGAAATAGTGAAATATCTTTTGCGTCTATTCAGATCAGAGACATAACGCTATAACAGCTTTCACATTTGTCGGTGCATTCTATACAATTATTATGCGTGTATAGTATAATACGCTTTTTAGAAAATAGAATTGAGAATGCATAATATACAAATTGATAGAAAAGGTCGCAATGAAATCATTTCATTGTATATGACAGTGTATATGGAATTCTTTACATTTGGTCTATGAATTAATCGCGATTTTTATTTATGATAACGATATGGTGCTAAAATATAAAAGGAAATTATAGATAGTAAATATCAAATTTCTTAGGTTGCCGTTCTCCAATTTTCATTTGTCAAAACCAGGCGCATGTGAGTCCGTACAATGAATTATGCATTTAGTCATAATAATTAAGCTGCATGTGTAATATGATTATACAATTTCGTTTCCTTTATTTAGTCCGGTTTTTTTTACATTACAACGTACAGTGATCTAATTATAACCTAGTTTCTATCAGGACCATATCCAGTCATACCTTTACCGAAACTCTGCTACACAATCACAAAACGAATCCCATACAGACGAATGATTTGATTAGTAAATAAGAATTGCACACCGTCTTTAAAAACATCAATGCGGTACCAAATTTTTATTAGTCTAATGACAAGTGTTGGAAACAAGACTTGAAGTTCGTAAATACAAAATTATAATTTTCTGAATCTCCAAGACGAGTGACGGGCAAATTAATTAAAGTATTTAAGGCCTGTTTCGAATCCGCTCCTTTTAATGGATACCAACTATTGGTTTATTCACCTATTATGCACGGTGAATACCAGGAAGCCATTGTTATATATGGTGCTAGTGTTTTCAACACAATATTACATAGGTGTGGTATGCGCATATTATCTATTATTCGTGAATATTTCAGACCGTAAATATTATGAAACGGATTATATATAGTATCAAGTGCTTGTCAGAGGATATACTTTTTAAAATTGCGTAGCATATTTTAAGCATTATCCTAAAAAGTACCGCTCACAAGACAATAGCTGAGTCAGAAACGATTTAAAAAAAATGGTATCAAAAATCGTTGTTAAAAGGCGTGGATACGAAACACTAAATTGAAGGGGTTTTTTTTGACTGACGGAAAGAAACTCTACTGCTAAATATTTACTAACAAAACAAGACATTGTAATGTTATTAGAATAAGTGCATGTGTACTTAATAAAGGGGTGTTACAAACATAGACTCACGAAGACTCGGTCATCTTCATGTTTAGGAAGATACAGGGACAAACATCTGTGTCAGGCATCACAATTATGCTACATATTATAACTGGTTATAGTCGACAAAATTTGGTTCGATTACAAACACTACCACCACCATTTGTTTTTAGAGTTACACTGTATCAAAAGACAATACAGTATATGATGCCAGTATAAAATAAAATTTCAAACCGTTTCATAAAGATCTGTTTAATGGTTTTTGGTATGTGCTGCGAAACAATTGCATATAAAAAGAATATAATGCTATCTTAAGCGGTTTATGCGAAACACAAAGTAAAATTTGTTTCAATGGAAACACATTAAATTTGAAATCTGAGAAATTTCTAATTAGCCTAAGGCACAACTACTATAATAGGTGGATGCGTGTAAAAGGTTTCATAAAGAAATATTGAACTGTTTATGAGATATGCTCCTGAATAAATATTGTATACCAAAACCTAAGACAAATTTGTTTCCATGAAAACACATTTTCTTTTTAAATTCTAGAAATAATGAGCAAAGGGCACAGCTACTACAATTGATCTATGTGTGTACAAAATACCGAAACAAAATCTCGAACGGTTTATCAGAAATTCTCCACAAGTATTGAATATTATTGTGTCCATTATGACATTTGCTACTACCCAAGTCAGTCGAACTCAATTCCTGGTTTACCCCCCCCCCCCACCCTCTTCATCACTTAAAAATCAATAAAACAATATATTTCACTATAGAAAAATAACGAAATATGCTTCAATGGAGATTGTCGAAACAAGTTCTGAATATATAACTGTATATAATTCCGTTACTGGCACTATTAACATAATATATGCACCCTGTGACATAACAAACACTGAATTCCCGATAACATCAAACCGGTGACAATTCAACAGGTAACAGCATTCCATTATGACATTTGCTACTACCCAAGTCAGTCGAACTCAATTCCTGGTTTACCCCCCCCCCCCCACCCTCTTCATCACTTAAAAATCAATAAAAACAATATATTTCACTATAGAAAAATAACGAAATATGCTTCAATGGAGATTGTCGAAACAAGTTCTGAATATATAACTGTATATAACTGCGTTACTGGCACTATTAACATAATATATGCACCCTGTGACATAACAAACACTGAATTCCCGATAACATCAAACCGGTGACAATTCAACAGGTAACAGCATTCCATTTAAAAAAGAAATGCGGCGCTTATTGTTTTAACCGGAACCCCCGATTAAACTTGGCATCTTTGGCGTAATCATCCCCACATTTTGTAAAGTGGTATTTGTTATTAATGTAAGCATTTAATGACCCAACGGATTATGAAGCCCACTAATCTGACAGATTTTTTGTTATCTGTGCACTATATAGCTTGTATCCGATAACAAATCAATAATAATTATTTATGGAGTACTTTTTGTATACTCTTCTTTTATTATGTAGTTGTTTGCGCCAGTTTAAACAGATTCTTTCTTGTCCTTGTCTGTTTCTTTTTCAATAATAAACATGGTAATATTTTCCCCATTCAAAAGGCCGAAAATGTAGAAAAAGTCGAAACTTAATACGTGCCACTGTCCTGCACATGTATTCGCCATGCTGTCTTTATATAACTAATGCACCTGGGGATATGTACCATATTCATTAGACAGTTATAAAAAATTACCTCCGAATTAAAATTGTACTGGAGTTCGATCGTTTTCTATTTTTTGTCCAAAGGTCAGATACGAATTGATGTCTGTACTGATATATACAGAGCTAATTTCCGTCACTTCTGCACTTCCACGATAGATTACGCACTGAAAAGCATCTTAAGACCATTTTTCATATGTTTCAACCACATGTTTAGATATTAGATGCACATTGTAACTAACAACAATATGATAGGCACCCGACCAGTTATTTATTCAAGTTGAGAGAGGAAATATTTTCTTTCTATTGGTATACACATGTTTACACGCTGTCAGAAATTCAACAGTCTCCAAATGGAACCTTTGGCTAAAATTCTATTTTGACATGGGATGTCTCGCATTATGAGATTAAATTAGATACAATGAGCGAACGAGAAAAATGTAGCTGATCGCACATGTCAAAATCGCTTGCTCCGAACAAAACTTAAGTATCCGTTCAGGGGTTGAGATCGGAAGCATCAATGTTTGGGCCAGGCT